AGCTCCTCCCCTGATTCTATCCTTCGACAATGCACCTACCCCCGGGTAAGCCGCAAGTACCCAAGTAACAATTTTGGTTTAATGAGGGTTTTGGAAACCATTATTTAGACTTATAGCTTGCTTTAAATCCTCGATAAAACTTGCAATGTTACTTGGGTATTCTGCGTAACTTGCATAACATGAATTTTGTTGTTGTTTAACAATGAATTATCTAGTTGAAGATGCTAATTTCAAATAACAGACTGTAGTGGTAATTTTTATACGATAGATGGAGCAGATGAAAACATAGAGTTGATAGTTCCGTTAGAGTATGGCAGTGTGAAGATTGTATATAGATATTAGAAAAGCGAGCTAGAACAACTTTTAAGGAAGATCAAAAAAAAAAAAAATGAATTATCGCCTTCGTAAAGCTAACGCGATTGAGCCTTCCAAATAAACGAACTAGATCAAAAAGAACTAAGCAGAAACCATTTTATTAATTTGGTGCCTTGTAAACCGAGCAACTTTGTCGAAGCCGTATAGCTGTAGAAAATTTGGCCACGGCTCAGAGATTTTGGCCACGCACCGGCCTTACTACCCTAATGTTCCTCTGTAATTTGACAGTATACATATGTGAGAGTTTTTATTTTTATTTGTTTTTATTATTATTTTCATGTTATCTAAGGCTTTGAAAACTTTAGTGTTCCATGCAAATACAAAACTAGCCAACGAATAATTTCTTGAAACATATTATTGAGAAGGATCCAAAATCGGGGCCTTCACACTTAAAAATGATTACCGACTTCAGTCATTTTTACCGAAACACCTTCAACTTTACACGTTGTGAATTGTCTCGCAATATAAAAGGAGCTTGTAAAATCAATAACACGCGTGATATTGAGAGCATATGAGAGCGGAAAAGTATCAATATGCTAATACTAATTTCATCACTGTCTGCAACGAAATAGATTCGTACTTTTTATGAAGCGAGTTTCGTTATAAATGCCACACTCGCTACTGATTTCATTTCGTATTACGAGCGAATGATTGATAAAATAAATGAGTGCATTGTACGAAAATAATACAAAAGGCAACGAAAATTTCGTAAAATAGAAATTGTCGCTCTGGTTCCTCTTGCATGTACGAAGGCATTTCGGACGATCGCATTTTTATTTTCCAACTACACAAATGATTTAAACTAATCTTTTTAGTCATAGGCGTACCCAAGGGGGGGGGGCAAGTGACCCCCCCTAACTCAGCCCCAAAATATATTTATTTAGATTTCATGTATCTAGAAAAAAGTTTAAATTTTTAATTTAACTTGCTTTTGACAACTTTTGACGTAAGACTATGTCTGTAATTTCTAGATGGGGGTACACTTTGTGAAAACTGAAAATGGAACATGTAACAAAATTATGGAAGATTTTGAAAATTAGTAACTCAGCTGCCCCTGGACCAATTTCAATAGTTTTATCATCAATCGATCATAAATATTTCGACGCATCAATAGCAATGCTTCTGACTGATGATTTTCAATAAGAAACAATTGAAAAGGTGGTAATGTCAAGCATTGTAAAAATGTAATGTTGTCACTGTTTTCATTAAATAAACGTTCTTCCCAAACACAGTCGTCATAATAGAGTACCACTTGGTTGCACATCATTCTGCTCTAACCTGAAAAGATATAAAAGAGCGCTGATGTCTGGCCTCAACTCATTTGAACTTCGGACGGCGTGGTGAGCAGGCTGCAGAGACAGCAATAGCAGCAGTAGGAGGGTGGTGGCACGTTAGGTAGTCCACTTTTCTACCTAACAAGCAACAAAGACTGGTTGTGGCAAATGAGGAAAAGGTCTTGGTAAAGAAGGTGCCAAGCGTCATTGCAAGGTTCTTCGTAATAACCACCATCCGTTGCCTGGTTCACCGTGGCGGTGTCAAACGTATCTCAGATCTGATCTTACGAGGTGTGCTGAAGGTGTTCCTGGAAAATGTGATCCGTGATGCTGTCACCTACTCTGAACACGCCAATCGTAAGCGGCCATGGATGTCGTCTACGCTTTGAAGCGACAGACGCACTCTGTACAGTTTCGGAGGTTAAATCATCACCAACTTTGGCAACAAATCGGCCCTTTTCAGAGCCAACAAGCTTATTACAGTAAAGCGTTGGAATAGAATTTATCTGTGCCTGTTTGTCCATATTCAGAACCACACACCCCCAACGACCACACAAAATGCTCTCCAGAGTTGTAATCTTGTAACCAAACTTGGAAGCAAGGGTGCAAGTGATTTTGATCAATTCTCTTCATCAACTTTCTCGTTGAAAAAAAAAATACTTCAAATTTGGTACGCCTACAATTCAAAAACGGAATGAGTAAAGATAATAGATGATCGATCAATTAAAAGAACTAAATGCTCTTCACATTTGTTCCGTCCACTAGCGGTCCTACGTCAAGATTTCGTTCGTGCCCCTAGGCAGAGACCCTTCTACTTTTTTAAATGTTTATCTTCCACATTTGTTTAAGTTTCCAAATCAGATTGAAGTTGGATTCATTATTTCAGAAAACTCGAAAAAAAGCAACAATAATTGTTTTTTCTTGATAATTACAGACTACGAAAATCCTCTTGGTTTTTCTTGAAGGACTGAGAATTATTATTCAGATTTTTTTTTATCATTGTGTTATTTAAATCCCATTTGTAACTATGAACTTTTTCTCTTTTTAAATATTAGGGAATTTTAAGGAGAACCCTTGTAACATTCTAAGAAGAATTTTAACAAAGTTCTGGGGAAGTTTTCAGGAGTGTTCTGAGGAATGTTTCAAGAAAATTATTAGCAAACTGCAATAGCAGGGCAGAGGTGAATTTCAAAAGGTTTCTGAAAAATGCTTATAGGTAAATCTGAAGAAATTACCAAAGGAATTGTAATGAATATAACAAGAATCTTTTATACATAGAATAAACTAAAGTGCGAGGTCCATTTTAATAAGTTCCGCTCCGATACCATTCTTAAGAGTATGGGAAACCTGTCATAGTCCGAACTGTCAACATGCATTGCTTTGTTCGATTGGAACGGATTTTGGCAGATCGATTGGCGACTGAAACAATCTGAATATACCCATTTCATTCTCAAAACCACTCATTTATACATTGTTTATACTCGGATAGGAACCGGAAAGCCACCCGAAATGATGGCACTGAGAAACATGTTATATCGTTTGTGAAATGCATATCAGCCATGGTACTGATTTGTTCGGTGTTTGTTTATGAAACCCGAATAACGTGTAAGTTATGCTCGGTGGATACAACGAATTTGTGCCTATTAATTTGACAGCTGCTTTGCATCACCCTGATGGGTTTTGAAGTCCATCTTTGTACCCACTTTCAAAGAATTTTAAATCTTGTAAATTTATATTATTATTATTAAATTTCTCATCTCAAGTACCGCGTGATGAGGTCACAATTCTACACAATACGGAACACAGTGTAGCGTCACCGTTTTTTTCTTCTTATATTTGGAGTTGTAGATATTGTATTGCGGTGCGCACACCGATTCGTCGCGCGACCTTGTTCTCACAACATGGTTGCCGCGGTCTAATGCCATTGGGTTAGAACGGTTGTTGATAAGTCGTTTCTCTTCACAAACTACCTAGTGGAGCGATTGCGTTGCCGTCATCGTTAATGTTTCTGCTGCAGTAACTACTCACTCCGATCGCGACACTCGATGCCGGTAGAATACTTGGTTAGAGTGTATTTTAACGAGATGGCTGGATGGCAGGATGACGAATGTATACGATCGGAGCAATTTATTATTCCCATTTCAGTTGGAGCGTGTCTATTAAATCTGCTCAACAGTACAGAGACAAGGGGATATATGTAAAAAACCGGTTGCTTTATAAATAAGCAATGCTTAATAAATATCTAAGACAGGTCTGGTTGCTGCTAATCTCGGATACACGGGGAGTCTTATCTAGCCGTTTAGAATGCTTGTGAGATTTGTAGCAAAGTGCGGCTGGATGGCGTCGGTCGAGAATGGAAGAATTCTGGCCACGCGTTGCTTGATTATCGAAACACGTGAAGCTGTGCAGGCACTCAGAACAAGCACGATCTCAGGAGATGATCATGATGCCACAAACTTGTACGGTGTCGTCAGTTTGACTGTTCCGAATCGAGGATCAAATTAATTCAAGTTAATTGCTTTGTTTTTGGATTAAAAAAAAACGTAAACATTTTTTTTTGTTGTTGTTCCCGTTTTCCGATGGTCGGGTTGCGATTGTTGTTTTTGGAGGTGATCGATCGCCAGTTGCGTCGTCACTATAGTGTTGCCAGATTATCTTCTCTTTTCTTCGTTATCATCAATTCAATTTGAAGAGCTATACTAGTTCCTAACCATTTCTATAAAACTTATAATTCAGTTATTCTTTCAAAATGATCAACTTGGCAGCCCACCTCTTTGCGCCACTTTCGGACCTTGATAAGTCTGTTTTTGCGTCGTTAACATTCCTTTACGCAGTCGTTGTGTTTATTTTCGAACGGGTTGTTTTCCTCCAGTTGCCGCTTACTTTCGGTGCTGTTTTCTTACCAAATCCGGCCTTTCGATTCGCCGTTGTTTTGATCAAGCAACAATTTTGCTCTCCCTACCTCCGGCTTCCACAACGCAAATCTCGGAAATTGACCTTTTTTCAAGCGTTTCTCTTTCGCACACTGTGCCTACATCCCCTTCTTCTACCCCGCCAGATCTGGGCGAGCTTGATCCTACCTCATTAGCAAACACGCCACATAACCGCCAGTTTGTTGTGCTACGCGATTACGTTTCGGAGGCTCGTCTCGTGCGGGAGAAAAGTGTTCAAAACAAACCGGCGTCGGGCCGGCTGATGCTGCTGCGGCGATCGACCGATCGTGTCCGTCCGACTAGAGCGAGATAGCTTATTCTGGCGTAGGTAGCATGCGATCGTGGTGTTGGTGTCATGGCTACTGTAGCCAAGTCGACTGCGTTCCGAGGTGGTTCGTTCGTGTGGTATAAAAGGCCAACTTCGGATCCGAACGGCATCAGTTGAATCGTGATCGTTAAACTTATTCCAGCAACTAGCACTAGCTCGTCGTTTGCGTTCTTTACTACAAGTGACGGAAGTTTGCGGTAGCGAATGTTTTAAAAGAAGAAAACAAGTTCTCAACAATTTCAAGGGGAAAAGTGTTTTAAGTGAAAGGACTTTTGTGTAGACACGGAAATCGGAAGCAACCATGATTTCGAAAATGTACAATGCCATTAACAAGGCCCGCTTCAGTGGCATTCGGATAGTTCCGGCCAATGCGCCGTCTCTGTATCAGGAATGCGTGAAAGTGTTTGTAGCTGAAGTTAACCGCACCCATCAGAACGGGAAACGGATTTCAGAACTGCAATTCTTGCCCACCGCAGCTCTGGTTAATATTTTCGAAGAAATGTGCCTTTATCCGGCTCTGCGCGACGCACTGCGACAAGAGCTCTCCGATCCGGCTCTGTTTATGAGGATCTTCAACGGTCATGCATCGAATCAGCACATTTTGGACCGTTGCTTGCGCGAGGCAAGCTTCAGCGGAAAGCCAGTTCTCTCTGACCTCGCTACTAATTACTGTGATATGGCTCGTAGCGACCCACTGGAACCGGGATCGCCAGCCTTTATGAGTCGTATTCTGGCAACCTTGAAACTCGGCTCCTATCTGCACGAAGCCGGTTGGGCCAGTTTCAGTGTCGATGTGTTAGTCATAGCTAAAGACATGATCTCGTTGATTAAGGACAACCGTTTCCACAAGAAACTGGAACTGGAATGCATTCAAAAGCTGCTGCGCTCCGAGAGAAGCAGTTCCCACCCGAATGCCAAACAAACATGTGATACCCTGCTGCAGTTGATCGTCAACGTGATCGACACAGATGCGCTAGTCAAATCCTACATGGAAATCGCGCACTTCCATTATTCTGTTGAAGAGTATGATCAATGTCACGAGTGGTCCCTCAAAGCAATGAGTCTTATCACAGATTCTACCCCGATCGGTGACGTCATCGCCGTGCTGCAAATAGAGGCTCTGTTCTGCTTTGCTAAGCAACGCTACGACCTTGGAAGTATGCTAATCGCGCAAGCTATTCATCGTGCTCGCTCCAAGTATGGCAACGTGCACCCCCGCTACGCTGACGTCCTGCTCACCTACGGCGAATGTCTGCTGCTCATGAATGCCGTTTCCGACGCCGTCTCAACCTTTATGGAACTGCTCGATGTCACCACCAAACTGTACGGACAACTCACCCCCACCGTTCCCATCGTCCAGGGCTATCTAGCATATGGATTTTATCTCCGCTCTCACGCCACCGGACGGTTCGATATGGCCGAGAGTCAGATAGAGAAGGCCATCGCCCAGGCCAAACAGCTCATCCCTTCGAATAAACGGGTGCTCGAAGATCTGAACTCGATTCGCAGCATGGTCCTCCAGGGACACGACATCATTCGGGCGGCCATGAAGGAGAACCATGTCACCAAAGCCAGCAACTATCAGACTTTTTCGTTCCCGGAAATTCGAGATAAGTGCGTCGAACTGAATGCTTCTTTTGAGTAAATGTTTAAGAAAAATTGTTACTAAGCTAAGCTAGAATTAAGGCAAAACAATCACAAATCTCTATCGAATTTATATTTGCTTATGTTAAGCGATTCCCACAAAAGACTTAAAACTGATTAGACCGTAAGTGATGTTTTCTGTTTATCTTCGTGTAAATAAAATATAATTCAAATTTGTTCATGAACCGTCGATGTATTTTCTTGCTTGGTTCAAGATGACCCGGAACCTAACCAAATTCTGAGAATTTCTCTCCTTCAACTTCTTGTTTTGCTGTCGATCATTCGTGGAAGGTCGTAAATCTTAGTTTCCATTGAACTATCAACTTCTCAGTAAAATCGTGCTCAACGTAGACAGCAGATAAATAAACAGACAAGACAAGTGCAAATCGTTTTGTACGCCACCTGAGCAAAGTATGACCGCTGGAGGCGCCCGTCTCTCTTGATGCTACCACCTCTCTGTTCTCCGGCTAGGGTGTTTACTGTTTACCGATTGACGGGGCCGACTGCCGCTCCACCGACCGGCTCATTAAAGGTAATTATCTTTTTTATTTAGTTTCTGTTATGATGGAGCAGTGGAAACTTTTTTTGATTTCTTTTTGCTTTTTTTTAGTTCTAGATCGATGCCAAAACAGGAATGTTTTATTTTCGTCTTGGTCCGGTTTGATGCGCTTACGTAATTTGTTTACCTTTAGCGATCCAACCAACGCTGGGCAAATTTGCAATTGGATGGTTATTGCAGGAACGTGTTCGGGATAAAGATGAGCTTGGTTGAATCATCGTGGGCGTGACTTTCGACTGGGTGAAGTCAGTGGAGAGTGAGTTGGAATAAGATGTGAGCTCTGTGGCTGTTTGATGTTGCCATGGCACTTTTGGCCCTCCAAATAATTTTCAATAGGGGCGAAGTAGCATTTTGACTCCGCTCCTCTACTAATATTTAGAACATTTGAACTTCGGATCCAAAGGTGGCTGCATATTATTTAGCCTGCAGTTTACATGGATAGCATGTTTTAATGGTGTGAGTGCCTATAGAAAACCCGTGTGAAGCGCACCCACAAGCATCGCTTGGTGAACAAACATTATCTTCGACTTTTTGATACACTGATTCGTTCACATTTCCACTTCTGTTCTGTGCTGCTATGCTAGAACTTTTATGACATTTTTATGGTGGGTGTAGTTAATCTAGAAACCGTACATCTATGGATAAATCCGTAAGTTGACCACACTGCTGCTATACCGATGTAAAATTTGTATCTAACTGTCAATTCAAATCTAATTTTCGAACATTTTGGGCCACTGATCCTGGAAAACTTGAAGTACCGGAAATTAACTGGGAATTGAGAACAATTGGGATGAACCGGAAAATAATCGAGTATTTGATTGAATCCTTAACATATTTAATAATTTCGTGCCAAGTGACCGAGAAAAATTACAAAGGAAAAATTGACGTCTTCCGATTAAGATCAATTATTGAGGAGATACTTTAGAAAATCCACATTTTTATGCCGATCGGAGCACCCCTCGGTCCAAGGTATATATTTTATCTACGGAACGAATGAAGCCTCCGATATCGTTTGGTACTGTTTTCATAAGAAAAATAGACAAGGAATTATTATTTTTGTACTGTGTTGTCAAGGAATCTTAGGCTGTGAACCATTTGCCGAGTTAAATTTAAATCGTGGTTAAAAATGACATTTCGAAAGTTATTTTCTATGTTCGAAAATCCCTGTGCTTTTGATCGACTGGTTTTAATCAAAATTCCAAACCAAACTTAAAGAGCATTTTATATTAATTATAGAGATGACACCAACATATTTCAGAGGAGAATACCAAAGTCAACGAAAAACTCGCTGAGTTTAGGTGCTCTGACTCAAATAGTTAAACCTGGTTTAAGGCTTAAGCGGAGGTCAAAAAAATGGTGCGGTTGTGTGCACGGCACGACCGCATGATTGACGTAGACTACGTAGAGATGTTTAGTGAACTTCTCGTGCATTTTTCTTGATATTGATTTAAAATACAGTAGAAGAAACTTATTTCCTCAATTTACTCCATTTCCTCTCCTTGACATGTCAATTTCCTCACCCTTATTAGATATTTTTCTGACTGTTTCTGGACTTTCCGTTAGGGATATTTCCGCATATGAAACGCTTGTCTTTAATGCTCCGTTATAAAATATATTCTCCATGCACACTTCAATGTCAACGGCGCTGGTGGTGTAGTGGTAAGCGTGATTACCTCTCACCCCAACAGGATTGGGTTCAATCCCAGTCGGCGCCGCCGGGATGTTCTGAGGCATAACATATCTGATCACGCCTTCCTTCGGATGGGAAGTAAAGCCGTTGGTCCCCGGTTCATGAGTTGATGGGTCGATAGGTAGGGTCCAGGTGTGGGAGCTGCCTTCCTGGCACGTCGGTAGCATTGGTGCTTAGCACGGAAAACAAGATCGACGGAAAAAACAAACCAAAAAAAAAAAAAAACCTCTACTTAAAGATGTAAATGAATTTTTACCGTCCCTCTGGATCCCACTTCAACACAGGGATGTATGTATGTATGTAAGGTAGCCACCATCCCTTCAAAGATCTTGCCTTGTATGCAGCTCCACTCAATAGCAAGATCAATTTGAGCTACCGATCTGAATTCACAATATCGCTGTATGAAGGGCCAAAAACGGAGGTGCGGACCCGTAAGCAGAGACACTTACACGAAATCCACGGGAATTTAAGAATCTCCTTCCAACGATACGATCCAACAAATCGAATAACACAATTCGCAATACTTATTAAGCTTCCTAGCTGATGGTTTGTAAAAAAGGGCGCGTCAATCTCACTGAAAATCCCACTTCAACACAAAGATGGCCCAAAATCATCAAAGTTCAGTTCGCCAAGAAGAATCTCACGAACACTAGCGTGTAAATTCATAGAATTTTACAGTTCTTACAGTAATGCATCTGTAATGTGTATACCACATCCGAAGTCCCTCCTTTTTTACATATTCTGCACAAAAACTACTTTCTAAGTCCCGCCCCTGACAGGATTTCCCACCGTTTTTTTTATGAATGGGGCGTGACAGAAAGTAGTTTTTTTGCAGAATATCTAAAAAAGGATAGACTTCAGATGTTAATCTAATTGCATGTTTTACACTATTTTGTAGCTATGAGAGATACAGCATACATGACATGCACATTTTCTCTCAACTCGAATGTTTGGCTCTTTTGGCGGGTGAAAAAATTAACATCAATTCTTTTTAGGTTTAAAAGGATGGGGGGGGGGGGGGGTCACGTTTCATATTATTTGAACGGGACCGAAATCAGTATCAAAAACTGTTTCTGTAAAATATGTGTGGTCCTGAAAAGGATCAATTGTTAGATCTCCACAAATCCCACATCCTCTCCAACCCCATGGTTGGTTGTCATCAAGGTGATCACGCTGACTGCTGCTATTTTACCACACCGTCCGTCCATCCGATGCGAAAATGAGCGGATTCACAACATCAGCGCTCTAGCCACTCTTCCACCTTTTTCCAATTTTGCTCCTGCTTCTGCTTGCCACGCCGTACGAAGCTTTAATGAGCAGAGAGAGACAGTAAAGCTCTTATATAGCTTCACAGGTTCAAGCTTAACGATGCGCAACTTAATGGTTCTCTATTATGACGACTTGGTTTGAGGAGAACGTTTAATTCATTAGAACAGTGAAAAATTGTCACTTTTTATTTGTACAATTTTAAACGATTTAAAAATGGAAAAGCATTAATTGCAGCATATTGTGAATGTTATTTCCTATCGAATGGTGTATTTGGATTTTAATTTAATCTATAAATGACAAAGTTATAAGCGTTCAAAATCTTACACCTTTTCGTGACGGTCACAATTTTAGATTTTCAATTAACCTCCAGTTCCTCCCCGTAAGACGTAGTCTACGTCAAAATCGGCCCTGAGACTGACACATACACATCAATAACATAAATTGTTGCTATAAAAATAATGCAATTTCAATTTAAAAGTTTCGCAAAATTCGTAGTTTCAACTGCGAAAATATTAAAATGAAAATGGATTTTTTTGATTTAAAAGTGTTTTTTTCACATTCGATTTGTAATTATAAAAGTGCATTTTCTTAAATAAAAGTGCCCAAATTATATTCTACGCAGCTTAGGCACATCCATCGGCACATTTTCGGCATACATTCCGCACAATCTCGTAGGAATTGTATTGTTGTAAATAAAATGGGAGCACAGCTGGACAACTGTCATTGCCCTGCGCTTCGGTCAGAAAGGGTATAGGGCGTCGTTGTGCCAATTTGGTCGTGGCACATTTCGAGTATGAGAGAGTGATTGCAGTTAGACCAAAAGTGCCTGAGAAAAATGCAAGTACTTTCGCAGATTACCCGAAGTTGTGATAGTGAAGGTATGATCACAGACAAGCAGACATAACACTCTTAAAACGTTTAAATGTTTCTTAGCTGCTAGTACCGCCACTTGTGGTGCACATAATCAATTCCCTAGCTTTAGACGTTTACACACTACAACCATCTGTTGAGTGTATTGCCCATCAAAGTATATACGACACATGGCGGTAGGGTTCACAATGATAAATGTTCAATGTGTTGTGTCTGCTTGTCTGTGACAAAACATGAAGGTAACGTTAGGATAAAATCAAAACATTGAGAAATTTAACGCATCACTTTCAGAAATACTTCACTTCGCAACCGATGAACCATTCTTACGGCCATATGAGTACCCAAGTAACCATATAGTCGCAATATAGCTTGTATATTCTTACTTTGCTTGAGTATGGTTAGTTGGGGAATCTGATGAAACTGTCACTTCTTGAAACTGATCCGTTTCGTATTTCTTTCATTCTCTTTTCGCACACGCTCCGCGCTCGCAGCTTGCTCTATGACCGGTACAATCGGCATACTTCGGGCATACACTGACAAAAAAGATGACCTAAGATTGGTGTGCGGAGTGACCTACCCCTTGATCAAAAATACTTCTTCAAAGCAAAGTTTTTGGCAGCACTGGACTTCTTTTTACCTCCAAATTCGACTCAAAATAAGCGGAATCCCGTTTCTGGCACGCCACCGCTAGCTTATTTATTTTGGAGGCATTTATCACGGCAGACGGAAGGAAACAATCCAAGAAGCCACTGGAGGAAATCATCAAGGTGAGAAGTTTTGGAAATGGTT